GCCGGGGCGGAAGCCGCGCGGTGGCCGCCACGTGGCAGCCGCGCCCCCGCGCCCAGCCCCGCTCGGAGAGCCTGCCCCTGCACAGGGAGGAGGAGCGGCTCCCGAAAGTAAACAGCCCCCGGCTGCTGGGAAGCCAGTGTGTGCAGCCGCTCTCCTTTCTCCGTGGTTCCCTGAATTCCAGAACGCCCCGGGACTGCCGCCACCAGAGTCTTTTTCAGACTAGGCGGATTTTCCCCACCCTGGATTTCTTTTCCCGTATTTCAGGGCCAGGGGCTGATAGCGGGCTATCTGCAAAGTAGCCGCTAGCCTCCGCGGCCACTGAGGGTCTGAAATGGGGCTAATCTGGGTTGGGCTGTGTGCAAGAGTTACAACACATCGGATCTAGAAAATATAGTACCAAAAAGAGAACGTAAACTCTCCCCCATTAGTAATTTTTAATTGACCACGTGCTGAAATAGTGTTGTAGATATATTGGATTAAATAAAATATGTAATTACATTAATCTTACCTATTTTTTTAATGTGGCTACTGGAAAACTTAACATTACATCCATGGCTCCCCTTTGCAACACTCCTATTTCCGTGGGATAGTGTAGCTTTAGAGAGCCTGAGTCCTGTGACCTTGAGTTCAAGTTAATTCTTAACCTGTGCTCACATCAAGTAAACCGGTGGGCAGTCTCCTTCATGCGTGGGTTTCCCAGAGTCAGTACTGTATTTGCAAATAAGTATGGCATTGGTTGAAGTGAAATTAAATATCTTCCCAACATAATCTTAAATTCCACAGAAGAAGGGAAGGTCTTCCTTCCTTACCTTTTTCTTTCTCTTTTTCTTTCTTTCTTCCTTTCTCTCTCTTTTCTTTTTTCTTTCTTTCTTTTAATTCTGAGTATAGTTGACAGTTGCATTCAGGTGTACAACATAGTGATTCACCTTCTCTATGCTGTGCTCAGCACAAGTGTATCTACCACCTGTCACCATACAACCCTATTACAACATCATTGACTATATTCCCTAAGCTGTGTCTTTTAGTCCCGTCCTTTATTCAATAACTGGAAACCTGTACCTCCCACCCATCTTCACCCATTTTGCCCCTGCCCCCTCCCCCCCCTTCTGGCCACCACCGCTTTGTTCTCTGTATTTATAGGTCTGATTCTGCTTTTTGTTTATTCATTTGTTTTTTAGATTCCGATTCCACATCTGAGTGAAATCATATGATATTTGTCTTAAGAGAATGTATTTCTTAAGCTGAGTTAGCTTTGGGAACGATGGAACTGTCAGACGTTCTATCTTGGCTTGTAAGATGCTAGCTCTGGAAACGCACACTCCTACTTTTGTTGGTTACTAGCCCTTCTGTGGTCAGGATAGCTGCTGCTAGGGATGCTGTGGAGGTGAAATGCTCAGAGTGCCCCGACGAAATAGGCCCCACTGGTGCAAAAACAAGATCCATAGTGATCACAGAAGGGTCAGCACTTCATGGACCCTGAATGCCTTTTTGCAAAACCATTTCAGATCCTCAAATAACATAATACCAAGACTGCTTGCTTTGAGTTACTTGCTCATCAAGTAACAGAGTTAGTAGGAAAAAGATGCCTTTGAAGCATTCCAGTTCTCTCCCTCTAGCATGACCTGTTCCTTGCAGCCCCTCCCCTAGCCCTCTCCCCCAGCAGGCCTCTAAAAAGAGCAAGCACAAGCGTGTGCGCCTTTTTCTGGACTTCTCAACACCTTTGCCTCTGAGGAAGCCAAAAACATCTAGGCTATGACCTAAATGATTGTTCTTTCAGTACTGGCCCCTTCGTGACAGCTCACGGGCCTTGCCAGCCAATTTCCAGAAAAGAAAGCCACTTTGCCAGAGGGGAATACGCCGCCTCTCCCCGCCCCCCCCGCCCCAGCTTCCTGGCATTTCAGGGAGACCTGTTCATTTCCCTTCCCTAGACCCGCCACCCTCCTATTCAAAACCCGTGTGCGGAAGCCTAGAACCTGAAGGACACGGTCCTTTGATGCACGAATTCTGAGCACCTTCCCCCCAGGGCTCAAAACACTTCCAGGCCAGACCCTATTTGTGCCACATGTCTTAGAAGAAAGATTGTACAGGGGGCACCTGGGTGGCTCAGTCGGTTAAGCGGCTGCCTTTGGCTCAGGTCATGATCCCAGGGTCCTGGGATCGAGCCCCACATTGGGGTCTTTCCTCAGCTAGGAGCCTGCTTCTCCCTCTCCCACTGCTTGCCACTCCACCTGCTTGTGCTCTCCCTCTCTCTATCTCTATCAAATAAATAAATAAAATCTTAAAAAAAAAAAAGAAAGATTGTACAGAAAAAAATGAGACAAGTGAGTTCAAATACTTGTTCAAGAGGTCAGTCCAATCTCTCCAAACTGACCTGGATGTCCAGCCATCTTTTGACAATGGATCCAGGGTAGAATTCCTCCCGCCTTTATGTTGGTGTCTTCATCTGAGAAGACGCTACAAGTGTAAAAGATCAGGGCTGGTTCGATCCTGAAGTTCATGCCTATCCTAGAGAGTGTTCATACGCGTTACAAAGGTAGGCAAAAAGTAAAGAAAAACAAAAGCCATGAGATAGGGCAAAGGAAGCAGCTAAAAAATTTATCTAAAAATGATCTGCAGACAATGATGACTAGTGTTTTTTGCAGCACTCTTAAAGGCAGAACAAGAGAAAAGAATCAAAAAGAGGCCTGATGTATTTAGATTAGGTTAGGTTAGCCTGCAAATGAAGATTGCTAAAGAAAAAAACAGAATCTGCTTCTTCGGAAAACTAAAAAAAAAATCTGTGCAGGGTTTGGCCACCGTATGGAAAGCAGGGATTACATGACCTCTGAAGGTCCTCAACAACCCTGGCATTTCATGTTTTTGTTCTTAAACCAAATTGCCTACACCATTCTGGATGATTTGCAGGATTTGGAGAACTTCCTAAAGACGAGGATCACTTCCTCTCTTAGCTCTTTTATTCCTCAAATACCTGGTTAAAAGCCACCGACCCTCACCAAGGGCCCTGCAGGGGGGCAGGTGCACGGGACATCGACGGGGGCGTTGGTTCAAGTCCAGCTGTCCCCTCCCTGCTGCGGTCTAGGGCGTGAAGACTCATTTGCCTTCTCTTCAACAGAGGTTACTTGGCAACACATATAAGCAAGGTTGTGAGGTTGCAGGTAATTTATATAATCTTGGCACATAAGAAGTACTCAAAATGTAGTTACGTCCATTATGCTACTGGCCAAGGCAAGTTAGTGGGCACTGGAGTTACAAACCAGGACCTGCCTCTAGTCAGTGAGCTACAGCCTGGGGCAAAGGAAAGAACCATTTTTAGAGGGGCTTGCCTGGAAACATGTCCCTATGGGCCTCCTCCTGGACCTGGGATGAGGCAGGAGAGTGAAGTAGGGTTCTTAGGCAAATGGATGAAGCACACCAGATTTCTGAATGCCAGACAAACATCCCAGAGTTCAAAGGGTACAGGCCTGATTGAGCAAGTACTGATTTATTACCTTAGGTTGGAGGCACTTATGAAACAAGAGAGATGCGCAGTGGGATTCCAAGGCTTACCACCGCACAAGGTTAGCCGGGGCCCTGGCCACATGGGCTCTGGTGTCTCCACGGAAGCAGAGAACGAGCATCCATCCCTTCAGAGAGCAAAATTCCTGCGGAGAGGACAACCGCGCTGGCCCTAAGTCAGGTTCCCTCTGCCCACCCCCACCTCCAGCTCCGGCTCCCATACAGCTAAAGCCCACATTCGGCAGTGGCACGAGCAGCTTCCCGGCGGCAAGGTGGTTCTCCCCTGGCATGTCCCCTGGTCAGCCACCTTGACAGAAGAGGCCAAGGGAGACTTTGGCCAGCTCACCTCGGCTGTGCTGACTGCCGGTCCCTGCCCCTGGGGGGTTTCGGGCTCAGCTTCCTCTTGCCCTGGAGGCCTGGGGACAACACTCTGGCTCTCTTCTTCACACCAGGCCTTTGAAATGCCTTCCTGCTGCTTGTGGGAAAAGCTGGCTTCTTGGAGGGGCCTTTCTGAGATGAGGTCCGGTCGGGGCTGGAGGCTAAAGTTGCACTGGATAATTTTCTAGCAGCTTTCTCCGACTGCTTCTTCAGCAAGTCCAAAACTGTCTCTGGGAAACAAGTATTTATTTAGTGAGAAACAGAAATCCTGGAAAAGTAACCCTAAGGGAAACACCACCCAGGATACCTATGACTACAGGAGGGTTAATATAAATTCTTTTCAGGGGCGCCTGGCTGGCTCAGTGGTAGAGTATGGGACTCTTGATCTTGGGGTTATAAGCTCAAGCCTCGTGACTGGCCTTGATCTAAATATATTACTTTTTTAAGAGGGTCACTCCAGTGATCCATGGCTCTGGAACAGTTAGTTTCCCTCCTCAATCAGCCCTTCCTGAATCCCCACCCTGCCTCTGCTCACTCTAGAGGCCCCTCGGTCCCCTGGGCATCCTTCTCTACCAGAGCCTCGGTGCTATATTTATTTCTTCATTTGCCTGCACTACATGTGACTCTGAGCTCCTACAGGTCACGTTCACTGCTATAGCCCCAGGGATTAGCACAGTGGCCACTGCAATCTCAGGGCTAAATGAACAGTGCCCAGTGAAGAACTGATGGACGGACAGAGGACAACGGGTCTCTGCAGAAGCACGTGTGCATACTCCGGTATACGGAGATGTACAGACCGAGCCACAGTTACTACAGTCCTCATCCAGAGCATAGGCCTTCGGCGAGAAACAGAGCTCCCACCATGGGAGGACTGGAGCACGTCTGCAGAGGGCACCGTGCCAGCGCCTCGATGCCAGGGCCTGAGCCTGAGCCTGAGACAGAGACGGACTCACGGGCGAGCGGCCTGAACTGGACCCGCTTGCTCTTGGTTTTCACCGGCACTGGCTTGTACTTGCACTTGCCGGGGGGTGCTCGCCTAAAAATAGAGAGAAAAAGTGAGGACGCAAGATTCTGAGGATGGGACCAGGAAGTCAAGGTCACCCATTTGCAAGAATTGGATTCAGCTCTCCTTTATCCATGGGGATCAGAGAGATGGGAGTAGGAAATAGAAGAAAGAACAGGGAAACTACAGGCTCTTGGGACAGACTGTAGTGAGGGGGTCAGGGGCACGGGCGTGGTGACAGAATTGGGTTCAAACTCTGGGGACCAGGGGCAAGTAAACCTTGCTAAGCATCAATTTCCACATCAATAAAATAGAAAAAGTAATTGTACCCATCCTCGCAGGAATAAATAAGAGCTGTGAGGGGCGCCTGGCTGGCTCATTCGGTTGAGTGGCCAACTCTTGATTTCAGCTCAGGTCATGATCTCAGGGTCTTAGGATCAAGCCCCGAGTCAGGCTCACTGCTCAGCGGGGAGTCTGCTCCAGGATTTTCTCGCTCCCTCTCCCTCTGCCCCTCCCCCCACACGCATGCATGAGCACCCTCTCTCTCTCAAATAAATGAATCTTTTAAAAAAATTAAAATAAAAATAAGAGCTGTGTACTTCACATACCATAAGTGACTGATAAGTCACTTCTAAAATTATTTTTTAAGGAGATTTAAAAAACGACACTTGGAACAGCGCCCAACACATAACAACTGCCCCACAGATGAAGATGATGATGATGATGATGACGATGATGGAGGTGATTCCCTTTAAAGAGAATCCCGTCAAGAACTCATGGCACAGCCCCTGAAGGACTGCCAGCCTCTCTGCCTATCAGAATAAGAATTCCATAACTGTTGTCTCCTGGGTGCATCTTCTGAAATAAAAGGGACCCTGGAGACAAGGAGCACTCGTTACTCAGAGCAGACGTGGAATTTTCCAGCGAGTCCCTGCTGCCTCCTCCTCTGCCTTCCTCGCTCCAGCTCTGTCTCTCCTTCCTATCGCCCTCATTCCAGGTGGGAAAAAAAGTAATTTTCTTTATTTAACAGACACCTCGTGCTTAGGCGCTGCACAAATCCTTCATAAATATAACTCAATGAAACCTCCTAATAACCCCACGATCCCCATTTTACAGAGGGGAAACTGAGGCACCCAAAGATTAAGACACAGATGCAAGATCACACAGCTAGTCGGTAGCAAAGTCAAGTTTCAAACCCAGGCTCCAGGGTCTATAACTCTCAAGGAAGGGCAAGAAGAAAAGATGGAAGGAAAGAAAAAAAGAAAAAAATCACACGGAAATAAATCTTTTGCTCCTCAGAAAGCTGTCATAGGTGCATTCAATGCAAGACAGGCTGACCAGGTAAGCAGAGCAGAATCTGGATCCACTGCTGGAGAAGCTTTGAAAGTCTGTCCAACTCCACATGATGATGGCCGAAGTGAATGAGAGATGCTAAAATGACTCTGACCCTCGGTGTCCCTATCCTGGGCCCCCTCTTGCTAGCCGTCCCTCGGGCAAGTAAGTTCACTTGGCCAAGCTCAGCTAGCTTCCTTGTAGAGTGACGGGTGTGAGCCTGTCTCCCTGGGATTCCGTCCGCACTAAATGACAGCCCACCTGCTCAGCACCCAGCACAGTGCCTGGCAGACAGCGACAACCAGTGAGTGTCAACCTGAGAGACAGGTGAGCCCGGAGGGATGTCTTCCGTGTGGACAGGCTTTACGGTTGTTTTATGGCTGCTCTTAGGAGAGTGGGGAGCTTGATTACCCCTAGCCAAACGAGGACACTGTCAAAGGAAAGACCAAGTGATTCACACAGGAAACCTCTGAGTGGAAAGAGCAGAACTCCGACCCAGCCATTATCTGCCACCTGAGGCACTCGAACTGGGTCCTGGGTTTGCTCCCCACAAGCACGGGAAATACGAAGCCAGCCCTGTACCTAATTCGGCCCTTAGCAATCCCGCAGGTGCCATTCGGAGAGCACCCCAGGCACAGCCTCAGGGACTGAGCTTCTTCCAGGAACTCCCGAGAACACAGAGACTGAGACCCTGCTGCCAAATGGAGCTGCGCGGGGCCTGGCTCCTGATCCTGAGCCCCAATCTACACGCAGCTGCCGAATGTCATCTGAGCACCACCCCACAGAGGAGCAATGTAGCCTCACAGAGAAGTTTTCCTCTGCGGGTCTGTCTTCAAGCTGATTTGTGGGGGAGACTAGCTTGCTTTGGGGCAGAATCCTGTGATAAATCCATGCACTGCCCCAGGCCCTCAGGCTGGATACGTTGCATCACCTCCCAGGAGGGTACAAACCACACGCTTGACACCCTCAGATGGGACGCTGTCCTGTGGCCTTTGGGCAGTTGCTTAGCCTCTGAGAGAGGTCGGCAAAAGAGCAGAAGTAAACAGTACGGAATCCACCAAGTGAATAAATATTGCCACTGAATTCCAGAAAGGGTCAGGTGGAGACACTAAGAAATCAGTTTAAGGGGCGCCTGGGTGTAAGACTGATGAATCACTGAACTCCACCTCTGAAACTAATAATATACTATGTGTTAATTAATTGAATTTAAATTAAAAATATTTTAAAAATTAAAAAATAAATAAACTGTCCCAGATTTGGCCAGTAGGAGCCCTTCAAAAGTAGCTCCTGCAGAAAATAATAATAATAATAATAATATAGATAAATAAATATTTGCCTAGGACCTTGAGACCTCAACCAAACCCAGGGGAGAGGGCAACAGTACTTACTCAGGTGGTCAGAACTATACACCCATTGTTAGATGATCCCAGACAGAAGTTTCCAGAAGCATAATTAAAAAAAAATAAAACAGGAGCCACAAGTCTGGACTAGTCATCCAAGAAAGGCTCAAGATCCTCATTTCCCACCACAAAGAGACCAGTTCCCAAATATTTCATAATTCCTAGACACATTGCCCTACATTTATTTGCCCCATCTGCTTTTTATCTAAAGCAAAGATTTGCTTCATTGATAATTTCTGGTAACTTCTGGGGAGTCAGGACTGTTTTTATGATCTGCCATGAAGATAAGGGCTGATAGGGATGCACCTAAGAAGAAAATGAGACCAAAACTCACCTTGATGGGTCAACAAATTTGTAAATTGATCCATGTGGTGCATAGGCGCTGGGGTAGGCAGTGGCCAGGAAATAGAGCTCCCCTGAGGAAACAGGGACAGGTGATCGATAGCATGGCTGAGACAGAGCTGGATGCACAGAAAACCCTCGACCTGGGGTTAGAACCCTGAAATGCAGTGAGCCCCAGGAAGGGAACCCCAGAGCCCTGGCCGACAGCTTGGCCTTCACTGGACTGTGAGCTCATCAAGAAGAAAGCCCTTCTCTGACCCCCAAAGAATAGCTCAGAGTGCACCCCAACAGACGTGCGTTTCTATTTACGTTCAATGAACAAACCAGCTTCATCTCTCTGCTCTCAGAAACTTCGCCTTAACGATTCACCATGTCCTTTTTCCCACCTTTTTACTACTACTAAGAATTCTCTGAGAAACCCTGAAATAGCCATTTACCGGTTAAGGACCATTTATCCATCACTTTTTTTTTTTTAAAGATTTTATTTAATTATTTGAGAGAGAGAGAGAGAGAGCTCTCGCACTCAAGAGGAGGGAGAAGCGGAGGGAGAGGGAGAAGCAGACTCCCCTGCTGAGCATGGAGCCCGACGTGAGGCTCGATCCCAGGACCCTGGGATCATGACTTGAGCTGAAGGCAGACGCTTAACTGACTGAGCCTCCCAGGCGCCCTATCCGTCACCTTCTGTTGCCCCTTCTTGAGTCCACTGGCACCAATCCCCACTGCCCCCGCCTCACTTCTCCCTCCATTTGCACCTTCCTTCCTTGGTCCTTGGGTCCCTTGTTTTCCCTGGCCCTCCCACTCTTCAGGCTCTCCTGGCCTTCTCCACATCTCCCAGAAATCACCTCTACCCACAGTCTCCTTCACCTCCTTGAGGAGCCCCTGCTCCTTCCACTTCCCTCTGTTTGAATACTCTCTGCTCATGGTCACTACCTCATTCCACCTCTTCTCACGGTTACCTGTGAGGGACAGGATAGGATGGGTTGACGAGTCCGACTTCGGAGCTGGATCAGCTGACTTGGAATCCTGACAACACCAGTTGCTGTGTTGTCTCGGGCAACCTCTCACCCTGTGTAACCCTAACGTTATTTGTTAATCATTTGTCAAATGGGACTAATAATACTTCACACGATTATTAGGGATTAAATTAGAAAGTGATGGGGCACCTGGGTGGCTCAGTTAAGTGTCCAACTTGGTTTCGGTTCAGGTCATGATCTCAGGGTCCTGAGATCGAGCCCCACGTCAGGCTCCGCACTCAGCGGCGAGTCTAATTAAGGATTCTCTTCCTCTGCTCCTCCCCCACATCTCTCAAATAAATAAATGTTTTGTTTTAAGATTTTATTTATTTATTTGACAGAGAGAGAGCAGGAGAGCACAAGCAGGGGGAGCGGCCAACAGAGAGGGAGAAGCAGGCTCCCTGCCGAGCAGGGAGCCCAACGCGGGGCTCAATCCCAGGACCCTGGGATCATGACCAACTGAGCCACCCAGGTGCACCTAAATAGATGTTTTAAAAAATTAGAAAGTGATGATCAGCCGTTACTCTTACCTTCTTATCTCTTTACACCTTCTAACATTTGTGCCACTGCACTGAACTGAGCTCGCTTGTTGTATGCTCTCTCTCAACCTCATGGAAGTAAATGTTTACTAAACTGCTAATTGGAAAAGCCTAGAACTTCAGACAGCTCTGAGTTACTTCCACAACCTTCTTCCTTGAATTTGTGGAGGACGTGGACCAACGTTTGTCCCGTGCCGAATGTGAGGCCTCCGGTCTTCATGGAGCCCCCACGCACAGCTGCCTAATAAACTCTGGACTTTGTGTACTCACAAACTATATTGTCATCTTGCCCTGTAAGGGGTCTGAGACATTAGGACGCACCCCACCCTAGAGCCAGTTTGCCTCCTCTGACTGGAAAGCCCAGGCACTGTCCGTTAGACAAAACAAGGGGTCTACCAAGTGTCTGCACGTACCCAGGGTGCCATCAAGCAGGAGCCCCCTAGACCATGAAAATAATTCCCGCTCTAATTGAAAAGCCCACATTGTGGCACAGTCCCTACACAACACCAGTTTATGTATATTATACGTCTTAAACATGCCATAGACTTCCCACTGTATTTTTAGGGGAAAACGATGCTAGAAGCAAATTTCCTCTGTCATGCCCAACTGACAATTTTAAAAATACATTTTAGGACCAAAAAAGACTACCTAAAAAACTGTAACATGCCATGTAAAACAAAACGCATGAGATGTAAATTTAGTGCAAACATTAGTACTTTGACCAGCCCTCTAGAGAATGTGCCTGATTCAGAAATCCAACCCATCGGGACCCACCCAGCAATGGCCAGCCCCACGCCCACCCCTCCCTCCAAAGTCACTTATTTATGGCAGCTCTCAGCTAGAAAAACCTGGAAATACACCGCAGCAGTACTGGAGGTCCAACCAAAAATGAGATGTCTACAGCTCATGATGGATAATAAAATAATGAAATACTCAGATCTAAAAATATGTCCATAAGTGGGAAAGGCTAGGATGTGAGCAGAAAATCCGAATCACTCCATGCAAACACACAAGAGCAAGCAACTCGGGAAGAAAATAACTTGCCTTGGGATGCCTGGGTGGCTCAGTCAGTTGAGCTTCTGCTTCAGCTCAGGTCATGATCCCGGGGTCCTGGGATGGAGCTTCTCCCTCTCCCACTCTCTCCCACTCCCCCTGCTTGTGCTCTCTGTCGCTATCTGTCTCTCTCAAATAAATAAACAAAATCTTTAAAAAAGGAAGGAAGGAAGGAAGGAAGAAAATAACTTGCCTTGAAACAGCTTTCCTGGCTTTAGGGCCATTTTGGGCAAAGTCTGGCTTGGGAACACCCTGGCAAGTCCACTCGATAAAATTCAGCCAAGGACACTTAGTTTTGTTGGCCAGATGTACTGACTGGTATTTAAAAGCTGCCTGTTTTCTCCTCCGAGTAGCCTCACAGGCACGGCAAACCAAACCACCCAAGCCAAGGTTTCGGAGGCCTTCTGAGGAGCAAGCTGCAGAAGACAGAGCAGCCCAGGATCCCAGGGCAGACCCGCCTCCAGGGCTCCAGCCTCCGGGGAGAGCGAGCTCCAGCCTTGAGGACTCCAGCCTCCCTGGGGCACCAGCCTAGAGGGGCTCCGCCAGGGCAGAGACCCCACCAGGCCTGTGGCTTCCACATCATCCTCCTTCCATGGAGCATCATCCTGCCAGCCTGTGGTTTCTCTCCTTTTTTTATATGTTTGGACTTCCAATTTGGAACGCACTTAGACTTTCTCTATTAAGAATGCTTGAATTCTCTAAAATAGCCTCTGCTCCTCTAAAATATTCATCTCAAACTATAAGCTAGGAAAAGGTCCAGGAGCTGACTCGATTTCCGTACGCCTTGTTCAAGTGAAGGTCTGGCACGGCCACCCCATGACTCAGAGCGGAAAGAAACCCAGTTTGAGGAAACCTTCAAGGCTCTGGTTCACACTCACAGAGAAGCCCAGGTCTGGAAGGGGCCCTGAGAGGCCATTTTATTCCCTTCTGAGACTCCAAGCATGGCTAGATGCAGTGCCAAATACCAAAGAGATCACAGGCCCTGTCCTCCTCACAAAATAAAATTTTATCTTTCAAAATGTAACATAACTTACGTAAAGCTGAAATTAAAACTCCATTTTCTGATTACAGAATTTGAGGCAATTTAGTAGAGTGGAGTCTCTGTCTCTCTACGTGCACACATGCTTTGCTTTGCTGATGCCCTTAATAACTACCTCATCTGTCTAGTGAATAGCCTCCTAACGAGCTGTCTACCCTTTTACCAAGATCTCTCAGGAAGGAAATTCTCCCTGGATCACTCACAGCCTCACAGACTCCTGGTAGGGTCAGGAAGGAGAACAGCCCAGTCAGGGGCTGATCAGGGGCTCTCCCTCCCAGGCAGCACCAGGAGGATAAACACCAGTGTCCACCCACCACGTCTGCCCCCCTACTGGCCCTGTCCACCTTCCTGTGATTGCAGATTAGAATCAAATCAGGTAGGAGGACATGAATCTCCTCCATGGTCAAAAGACCAAAAGACCAAAGTGTAAACCCTGACTTGCTCCACACAGTGAGGTGTGGGCCTCAACCAAGAAGACGTAGGTTGGCATATTCGATCTGTTGCCTCACTGGCAAAATAAGCATAATCATTACATCATGGGGGTGTTGTAATTATTAAATAACATAAAAAAATGTAAAGCGCTTAGAATAGTATCCAGTACATTATAAAAGTTGACTATGGCATCACTTAGGCATCCGACTCTTGATTTTGGCTCAGGTCCTGATCTCAGGGTCGTGGGACTGGACCCTGAGTTGGACTCCATGCTGAGCACGGAGCCTGCTTAAGATTGTCTCTCTCTCTCTCCCCTCTCCCTCTACCCCTCCCGCCACCGCACATTTTCCCTCTCTCTCTAAAAAAAAACAGTTGACGGGCGCCTGGGTGGCTCAGTTGGTTAAGCGACTGCCTTCGGCTCAGGTCATGATCCTGGAGTCCCGGGATCGAGTCCCGCATCGGGCTCTCTGCTCGGCAGGGAGTCTGCTTCTCCCTCTGACCCTCCCCCTTCTCACGCTCTCTCTCTCATTCTCTCTCTCAAATAAATAAATAAAATCTTTAAAAAAAAAAAACAAAACAGTTGACTAAATGGTAATGAAAACAGAAGTGTAGTTGCTCTTTAAATAATAATAATAATAAGAGTAATAACAATGATTATAACAAATGTTTAGTTCACGATGCCTGTGATGATTTAAGTTCCAATAAGCAGAAACAGAATAACCCTATATATCTGTCACCTGCTTCATCTTCAGCAAAAGAGATGATAAATTTGCTGTAGGTGCTGATCAGCCCTGGGAAGGCACAGAACGCAGCGTTGCCCAGGCAAATGTCCCGTTTCTTCCATTTCTTGGTTTTTCTATCTTCCTGCAAAGCCATAAGTCGACTAGATGAAAAAGAAAACCTTTATTATAGGAATCCATATTTTCACCCTGCAGGATATTCTTCCTCCTCCCTTAGGAGATCAACACCTAGCCTCTCCCAGGAATCAAAAAGCTGCTTCAGAGATACATCAGTCAGCTGCTGGCCCTAGACGGAGAAGCTCATCTTCCATTATAGGAGGAGTCTGGTGCCCTCTGAAGGTTGCACCACTACAGAAGACTAATCTAGTTTCTGTTGGTTTGTGCCAAATACCAAAGAGATCAACTGGCTACACCTCAGTTCCCTCATCTGTAAAATGAATTTCCCACGGACAAAAGTTGCAAAGGTTAAGTAAGGTAATATACATGAATAGCTCCCCGGTGTGCCTGGCACAAATAGTAAGGGCTCAAAAACTGGTAGCTATTTTTGTTATTATTATGTCTATGTAGTAGCAGGTCGATGCTTCACATCCCTTCGTCTTCTATCGGACCTCAAAGCAGGTTTTTAGAATAAAAAGAAAAGGAAGATGGGTCAACTAGTGTGTCATATGAAATCTTTTTTTCACATGAAACATTTCATAGAAATAGAGATGCTCAATCCCAGTGATTTTGGTGCATGTGCTTTGACTAAGAATCACTGAATATCAACCAAGTGATATGTAAGGAGATGGAATTGTGGGAAAAACAAAGAACAATTAAATCCCAAAGATCTAACGAGTGATGATAAAGGAACTGACCAATTACTAGCTCTACCCTGTCTCTGAAACCAAGAATTGCAGTATGAAAATATTACTAACTTTTTTAACAAAAATGGGGTAACGGGAGCCAGATTTACCCTCATACCTTAAACAGTCAAAAACCTAGACAAAATAGAATGATAATTTTTAAAAGACAACTGGAAATCAGACAATGAAGGACTACATTCCCTAAGAGATGGGAAACAAACAAGGTAAGCCCTAAAATTGTCCCAGCTTACTACCTTGATAAAGTTTCCAGCACGAGGAAGGAAAACACAGGCAGAGCCAGCAGACGCCTTAAGTTGAAAAGACAGAGATGAGAGTCAGAAAGACCTATGCAGAACAGTCTACAGGACAGATATTGGAGAGAAGAGGGGGGTACAGAGAATAGGCCCCAGAGATCTGCAAAGTGTCTCCTTTGAATATCCATCACTATACTTAACAGCACATACATGTGAGGAAAACTTCCTAAATCAGAGGAAAGAATTAGAAAGAAAAGTACTTGGCACTTACTCAGGGTCAGGCATAGTGTAAGTATAATTCACAGAGCATTAGGAAGAGTTTCTAGCAAAGTCCTTCCTCAATATTGAGGAATCGATAGTTCTAGAATAAGCACCACATTGGTCCTACATGACAAATATTAACAGCAAGACCTGAAAGGATCAAACTATTTCCAAGTAACTTATTTAGAGAGATACAACAATATTCAGCACCCACGGTGTTAAATTTACAATGTCTGGCATCCAGTAAAAAATTATAAGGCAGTAAAGAAGAAGGAAAATACAAACAAATATAAAGAGAAACAATAATAAAGAGAAAAATCAATCAAAACTGACAAAGAAATGACAGATGTTCACTTCAGCAGAGAAGAACATTAAAACGGTGACTTTTTACTCTGATTCCATATGTTCAAAAAGCTAAGTAGACACATGGGAAATATACAAAAGACCCCAATCAGGTTTCTAGAGATGAAATATACAGTGCTTGAGATTTAGAAATAAACACTGGATGGAATGAATGGCACATTAGACACTGCAGAAGAAAAGATTCATGAACTGAAGACATAGCAATAGGAACTACCCCAAATTAAACACAGAGAAATAAAACTTAAACACAAATAGATCATCAGCGAGCTGCAGGAAACTTTAAGTAGCCTAATATACACATAATTCAAGTATCCAAATGAGAAGGAAAGAGAGGGTGGGGCAACAAAAACTATTTGAAATAAATTACAGCCAAAATTTTTCCAGATTTGATGTAAGCTATAAACTCACAAATCCAATTAGTGCAACCAAATCCAAGCACAAGAAATATGAATAAAACTACACCAATATATATCATAATGAAATTGCACAAAACCAATGATAAAATCTCAAAAGCTGCCAGAGAAAACATGACATGTTAAATATGGAGGAACAAGTATAAGGATGACAGCAGATTTCTCATTGGAATTAAGGCCAAGCAGAAGATAATGGACAACATTTTTAAAGAATTAAAGAAAGAATATGTTGTCATAGACTTCTATATTTAGCGAAAATATTTTTCAAAAAGGAAGGGGGAAAAAAGATAGCAAAAGCAGAAAGAATTCATCACCAATGGACCCATTTTTCAAAAAATGTTAAAGGAACTTCTTCAAGCATTAAAAAAAATGACATCCCCAGAAGGAAATATGCACAAATTAATGAGGAGTATTGAAAATGGTAACTATATTTGTTTCCTACCACCACTGTAATACATCATCACAACCTGGTGGCTTGAAACAACCCACACTTATTCTCTTACAGTTTCGGAGGAATGGTCCTGAAATGGATTCCACTGGGCCAAAATCAAGGTGTTGGCAGGGCTGTGCTCCCTTCAGAGGCTCTAGAGGAGAATCAATTTCCTTGCCTTTTCCAGCTTCCAATGGTTGTCCTCAAGTCTTAACTCATGGGCTCATCACACTGCTTCTGTTGTTACACTGACTTCTATCTCTTCTGTCTTCAAATTTCCCTTTACCTCCTTCTTCCAATGATACATTTAGGACCCACCTAGATAATCCAGGGTAATCTTCCAAATCAAATACAGTCTCTTTGTGACCACAATCAAACTAAATTATAAATCAATAGCACAAAGACCTCAGGAAAACTTCAGATATTTGGAAATTAATGCACTTCAAACTAACTTGTGAGAAAATGAGTCAAAGGGAAATCAGAAAATATATATATATATTTTTAAAGATTTTATTTATTTATTTGAGAGAGAGAGGATGAGAGACAGAGAGCACGAGAGGGAAGAGGATCAGAGGGAGAAGCAGACCCCCCCCCCCCCCGCCAAGCAGGGAGCCCGACGCGGGACTCGATCCCAGGACTCCAGGATAATGACCCGAGCCGAAAATATTTTTAACTGAATGAAAATGAAAACGCAATGTATCAAAATTGATGGGATACCATTAAAGCAGGACTTGAGGGGAAGTTTAGAGCACTAAACATATGTATTAGAAAAAATGATAGTCTCAAGGCACCTGGATCGCTCAGTTGGTTGGGCATCCAACTCTTGCTTTCAGCTCAGGTCATGATCTTCTAAGTTGTGGGATCAAGGTTGGGCTCCGCAGGGAGTCTGCTTAAAAGATTCTCTTCCTCTGCCCCTCCCCCAACTCCCACTTGCTCGCTCTCTCTAAAATAAATAAATCTTTTTTTTAAAAAGTAAAGAAAAAATGACAGTCTCAACTCAGTGACCTCAGTTTCTATCCTGAAGTGGCATAATGTTACTTGAATGTGGACTCATTAGTTGTAAATGTATATTGCAAACTCTAGGCAACCACTGAAAAAGAAAAAAAAAGTATAATTGATGTGCTAAGAAAGGGGAGAAAATGGAACTCTATAGAATGCTCAGTTAAATCCACAAAAGGCAGAAAAAGAGTCAAAGACAAAAACAGAACAAAGAGGGCGCCTGGGTGGCTCAGTTGGTTAAGCGACTGCCTTCGGCTCAGGTCATGATCCTGGAGTCCCGGGATCGAGTCCCGCCCGCATCGGGCTCCCTGCTCGGCAGGGAGTCTGCTTCTCCCTCTGATCCTCCCCCATCTCATGCTCTCTCTCTCTGTCTCATTCTCTCTCTCAAATAAATAAATAAAATCTTTAAAAAAAAAAAACAGAACAAAGAACAAGAGCAACAAATAGAAAGCAGTAATAAATATGGTAGATATTAATCCAACTGTGTCCATAACCACTTTGAATGTTAATGGTCTAAATGCACCAATTAGAAGACAGAAGAAATAACGGGGGTGCCAGAGTGGCTCATTTGGTTAAGCCTCGACTGATTTTGTCTCAGGTCATGATCTCAGGGTCCTGAGATCGAGCCCCACGTCGGCCTAAACACAGTATCAAGTCTGCTTGTCCCTCTCCCTCTTCTCCTTCCCCTGCTCTCTCTCTCTCACTCTCTCCCTCTCTCTCTAATAAATGAATAAATAAAATCTTTAACAAAAAAAGACAGAAAAAATCGCCAGACAAGACACAACTATACGTTGTCTACAAGAAAACTTTAAACCTGGATGGCTTCACCTGGAAGAAACATATAAAGAAATAATACCTATTTTACACAAACTCTTTCGGACAATTGAAGAAAAGGAGATACTCTCCAACTCATTCTATTAAAGACTGCATTATCCTAGGGGCGCCTGGGTGGCTCATCTGAGCGTTAAGGTTAAGCGTCTGCCTTCCGCTCAGGTCATGATCCCAGGGTCCTGGGATCTAGCCCCGCATCAGGCTCCCTATTCAGCGGGAAGTCTGCTTCTCCCTCTCCCTCTACTGTTCCCCTACTTGTGCTCTCTTGCTCTGTCAAATAAATAAATAAAATCTTAAAAAAATAAAATAAAGCCTGCATTATCCTGATGCCAAAATCTGGCAAAGATATTCCAAGAAAGAAATCCCTTTCATGAACACAGATGCAAAATTTTCCAACAACATGTTAGCAAATCCAATCCAACAATGTATTAAAAGGAAAATACATCATGACCAAGTGGTGTTTATTCCAGAAATGCAAGATTGCTTCAATGATAAAAGAAAATCAATATAATTCACTATATTAAGAACTAAAAATGAGAAAACCACATGATTCTCTCACTAGATGCACAGATGCATTTGACAAAACATAACATCCATACTCAATACAAACTCTCGGTGAACTAGGAATGGAAGGAAAACTTCACCTGATAGAGGGCATGTACAAATATCTACAACTGATATCATACTCATTGGCGAAAATGGAAGCCTTCTATCCAACATTGTATGGACGTTTAAGATGAAGCAGTAAATCAAGAGAATAACAATAAAAGCTTTGCAATTCAGGAAAAGAAAAAGTAAATGTATCTATATTCACAGACAAAATGGTCTTCTACATAGAAAATCCAACAGAATCTACACACACATACACACACGCCAATAGAGTTAATAAGAGTTAGACAAGGTTGCTGGATATAAGTTCAATACACACACACACACTGAAATATATGTAACAAATATATAATAAATATGTAGTAAAAAACTGGAAATAGCCAAAACAGGAGAATACATGAATAACTGGTGTTATATTCATGCACTTGAATATTACAAAGCAGTAAAACAGAAAAACTGACACGTGACAACAGTGATGAATTTCACTGATGTTATTGAATGAAGAAGCCATATATGTACAAAAAAATACGTATGTATGATTCCATTTATATTAAGTTCCAGAAACAAAATTAATGTGATGGGAGTGGTTACCTCTGGCTGATGTGCTGGTGTGTGAGTGTGAGAAAGAAAGGGGTGGTACTGATAGGCTGATAGGCAAGAAGGAACCTTCCAGAGTGATGGAAATGTTCTGCATCTTAACATAGTTCCAAGTGTATATATTGTAACACTTTATCCAACTGTGCTCTTAGAGACTGTATCTCACCACATGTAATTTATATCTCCATAAAAATGCTGAAATAAAAAAAAAGGAGACATCAATCCTTTCTTACCCACTCATGAAGTCCCCAAAGATGTAGAGGCCATTGAGATTTGGGGATTCACACCCACGGTAGACATATCCTCCAGTGACTGACTTCCCCACTGCATGGCCATAAGCATAGATTGGCAGAATGTCACCTGTCCAGGAACAAAAAGTGTCATAGCTGAAAACTGAGACCTTCAGGTGCCTGGGTGGCTCAGTTGGTTAAGCATCTGACTCTTGATTTCGGCTTAGGTTATGATCTCGGGGTTGTGAGATCGAGCCCCCTGTCAGACTACACTGAGCACGGAGCCTATTTGGGATTCCTTCTCCCTCTCCTGCTGCCCTCCACACACACACACACCCCCGCCCCACAACACTGCTCATGCATGCACACACACTTTCTCTCTCTCTTAAAAAAAAAAAATTGAGAGCTTCAAGGAGGAAGATGGGGACTTTCAAATGTAGTTGCCTGATTGAGTGGAGAACGGTTTCTCTCTTGATCTTTGGTAGCACAGGCAGCCAGAAGAATCAGGTTTATTTTTCTCAACAGACCAGCCACAATATTTGTGAGCTTCCCATCTGCCTGGTCTATGCAAGCAGAAAGGAAGCCAAAAATTCCCCCACCTGTGAGGCAGTGACCTGGGAATCCACACACCTAAGTTTATCCCCTAGGCTGACATGGCAGATACTCAGGTTTAAGGATTTAAAAAACTTGTGAGGGTCTCTAAGACTCCTTTGTAACTTAGAGAACCCAAAAAGATTAAGCACCTGTGATAAAATATGCCTGAAAAGCACATCTTTTTTTTTTTAAGATTTTATTTATTTATTGACAGAGAGAGAGACAGCGAGAGAGGGAACACAAGCAGGGGGAGTGGGAGAGGGAGAAGCAGGCCTCCCGCTGAGCGGGGAGCCAGATGTGGGGCTCGATCCCAGGACCCTGGGACCATGACCCGAGCCGAAGGCAGACGCTTAACGACTGAGCCACCTAGGTACCCCAGAAAAGCACATCTTGATTACTGACATTTAGGGTTTGTATATGGAATATATCACCTGACTGCATATGGAATGTCATTTCAGTGGGCTGTGCCAAATAGGAATAAATTAAAAACATAGAGCCACCAATTTTCCTCTACTAGTGGTTCTCGAAATAGCATGCCTAAAAATCATGTGGGTAATTTATCTAAAATATAGATTCCTCGGTCAATCCCAGTTCCTGAATCCACCCAAGATTCAAATGCATCAGGTCAACAGGCACTACCCAGCGTGTTTCTGGTGCCAGCGGCTGGAGCGCCAACCTGAGAACACAATCCCACAGGACATAAAGGAAGACCCCCGAGCCATCTGCAGGGGAGAACACTCTCAGGTCGTATCCCCCCACCTCCACGTCCGCCCCCTCAATTCACTCAAGAAATCACCCGGAGAACTTCTGACTTACCCAAAGAGGCATTGTGACAAAGCTTTCTGTCGTAACATTCAAACCCTTCCTTGGCCCTCCAGCCATAGTTCCCGCCTTTCACAATGATGTCGACTTCTTCAAACCTATTTTGTCCCACGTCCCCACAGAATATCCGGCCTCGGCCCCGGCGCGTGACAGGGTCCCCTCGGTCCACGGCACAGCGCCACATGTTTCTGACCCCATAGGCATAGACCGCAGGATGGGCCCCTGGTTCAGCCACAAACGGATTGTCCGGGGGCACTCGGTACCGCTTGCCGTCTGAGCCTGCCCTGTTCACGTCGATCCTTAACACTTTCCCCAGCAGGGAACTTCTGAAAGAAAGAGGGCCGGGAAACAGGCGCAGGATAAGTACCCCGAAATGGGATTGCCGGCTCATTGGCTAGTTTTATATGTTTTTAATGTTTTCGCAGCCTCTCCATACTGTTTTCCAGAGCGGCTGCACTATTTTGCATTCCCACCAACAGTGTACAAAGTTCTCCGCATCTTCAGCAACACTTGCTGTCTTTTGTGTTTGGTTCCTTTGGGGGTTGGGGGGAGGTAGAGAGCCATCCTAATAGATAGGAGGTGATATCTCATTGCGGTTTTGATTTGCATTTCCCTGACGATGAGTGACACTGAGCATCGTTTCATACACCTGTTGGACATTTGTTTACAAGATGAGTAAGTTCTAGAGATCTGCTGTACGTTTGTCCCTATCATTAACGATACTGTATTTACACTTACAATTTTTTTTACACTTAAATTTTTCTAAGAGGGTAGATTTGGTGTTAAGTATTCAAAATTTAAAACTAAATAAAATAAAAACTAACTAAAACTAAATAGAAGATAAAATAAAATGGCACCAGACCAGAGATTGCCCAGGAGGACCTACTGATGGTCAATGCCAAACAACTACTAAGAATCACATGGGAAGACATGATTTTTTACAGATATATACAAGATATATACATAAAGTCATGTCTATATGATATATATAGATAGATAGGTTAGATAGGTATACAGATCTATGCAAAATGTTAAGACTTGCCAAGTTTTGGCTCAAGGAGAACTAGTAGGCAAAAGTTTGATGGGGTCCTGGCCCATAAGACCCTGAGCAAGCCAGTTGCAGCTTCAATTTTTTTTTTTTTAACTTTTTTTTTTTTTTTTAAGATTTTATTTATTTATTTGACAGAGAGAGACATAGTGAGAGCAGGAACACAAGCAGGGGGAGTGGGAGAGGGAGAA